AGCTTTTCGGCCTTCGTTGTGTTTCCTGTGTATGGCTAACAACAATAAAACAAAATAAAAGCAAGACAATAGCCACCACATTAAAAACTACTAGAGCAGATAAGCAGCTTCCTTACTGCACATTAGGTCATTTCCTTTCGAGTCATCTTATCTAACTCTCTTAAAAATTAGTTAAACCAATTCTGGCTCAGGAGAGCATTCATAATAATAAAAAGCCCTTTTTTTTTGTAAAACACTTGGTCGGGGAGCTGGCTATGAGCTGTCCCACCTTCCATTCCAGACCACTGGCTTCAAACCAAGGCCTGCTCGCTCGTGCCTGGAAGGCTCTGCTACGTGATTGAAGTCTGATGCTCTGCAGGAAATAAGAGGGGAGCTTCAGGGCTTGGCAACACCCTGCCTGCCTCACGCTGGCACTCCTACGGGCCAGAAGTTTTATCAGAAAATGCCTATGTCTTTTATAGCTGATTTTACGTGACAGCAAGACTCTGCCTTTGCTGAAGATAGAAGTACCTCTAGAACCACACTTCTCACTCAAAAAAAAATGTAGGTTTAAGATCCCATGGCAAGGCCTGCTTGCATTTTGTACACACTCCATACCAAGTAGCACGGCCTGCACCATCACTATTCACCTTCCAAAGCTGCCAATCTATATTAGCACTATTTACTATTACTTTACACAGAGGATTTCAACTCCCCTTCCCATCAAGGGCGCTGTCCTCAAATTATTTTTAAACTGTTTTCCTCCACTGAAGCAACTGGGCCTCTGGAAAGCAGCCATCCTGCTGCTGCTGAAGCATCATCAGGGCTCTTAGCAGCAAACGAGACACAAACATGAAGCCAGCACAACGTTCCAGTATTGATTTCTCTAAGAAATTTAAATCCCACAGGGCATAAACATCAATTTAATCTGCATGCAACTACAAAATGGCTTCCCTCACAGTGTTCCTCATTGTAGGTGCAACTCAAGTCGCTGCCTGCTTTTCAGGGGAGGTAAAGAAGAATGATACAAGTACCTCAAAGTTGCTGCTGACTTCTAAATGGTCTAGAAACTACAATTGTAGAAGCCAGACAAAGATAATTTTTAGCAAAATTTCTGTTTCCTAGCTTAGTGTGAAGTCATCCCAGGAGTGTCCAAGGACCTGTTTGGTCTTGCCAAACCAGAGAGCCACTTTCTTGTCCAACAGAATAACATGTTGCTGTGAAGTGACAATTCCATGGCTCGCCTTTGGGATTCTGTGCCTCTGTGTCACCCTAATAGTATTTTCTGGGCACCTTCTGCTGCCATTCCCACAGACTGAGAGTCACAAGTTATTACTACCCTCCGCCTGCTGAAAATACCATCAGATGGAAATAGTATCTGAAGAGAAAAATGAAAGCACAATTTCACATCTTGGAGTTTGCCCTCCTGTGATTTTACACAGACATCTTTAGAAAGCAGAAATTCCCACTCTTACCACTGAAAAGTCAGGCCCACCATGCACTGGCACTTCCTCATCTTTCCATCATTGTAGAACTGCTATTTTGTTTAAGGATGCATCTAGTTGTATGCCCAATCTTTTTATCATACCCTTGAAATGCACTTAAGACAAAAGAAAAAAAAAAAAAAAAAGACCTGTTTTTACCCCAGTGTAAAACCATGGGCATGTCTCTGTTGCCTCAGCCAGTACTTAGGCACTCAGGACTGTCAGTACAATTCAGGGCACGAGCATTATTGCAAGCGACGGATTTATGTACGTAGCAAACTGTAAATTACATAATAAAAAGACGCAGGATTTTATGGACAATGCTTTGGCTTGTAAAGCTTGGCTCCTTCTATCCATCTCTCCCCCTGCTGATGATATTTAGGTGGCAAGAATCAGATTCCTGAAGGTATGAACACGACACCGACAGCGCACCAGGCAGCTGGAGCTTTGTGTACCCACTGAAAGGCACAAAGAACTCCACAGAGACCCATGGCCAAAGTCAGCAGCTTCAAGCAGTCACACAGGAAGCAGAGGCACAGCCTGTGCACTGCTTCCCTTGAGTTATATAATATACATCATGGCAATATTTACTTCACCCAGTCATGCTTGCAAGGTAGAATTTGCTCCCAAGTGGGATCACTGGTAGGTCTTCACCGGGTCCAAGTAAGGACTGAAATGTTCTCCTGTCAGCAACAACATGAATTTCAGAATTTCTTGGTCAGGAAGAGAATCAAATCTGAAGTGGCCATCAAGATTATTACTGTATATACAGGCATCTCAGTTTAAATCACTAGAGCTTTGTAGCTGCTGTGACCATGCGAGTCAGGGAGCTGCGGAGACTGTCACTGCTCTACAGAGTTGGGTGGTTTTGGCTTCAGAGACGTTGCACAAGTTCTTTGCTTCAACAGGTTCCTGTCAAGTGCATCTATCTCACCAGGCTCTGAACACCAACTGCTGAGCTGAGCTTTCCAAGGGGGAGAGAGGAAAAAGGAAGTGACAAACCAGAAGATGTTTATGCTACAATCAAAACCCGGGAAAATTAAGGGAAAACAGCAAAGCTTCACCTTATCTGCACGAGCCTCTGCATTGGAGCATGTAGACAACGGAGGGGGCAAAGCAAACCTTGTCTCGCTCTCTCCATCCCTTAAGTAAATAAGGGAAACAGGATAGAGGGCGTTCCTGCCTCATTTCCCCTGGAATGTGATCGAGAAAGATTAGAGCCATTATAACACAGCAACACACACTTTGGAAACCCTTTAATCACAATTAGTCTGAGGTCCAACTTTTCTCTGAAGGATTGTCGGGTGCCTGGGTGCCACATCCCAGCTTCGGAGTAACAAATAAAAATGAGACAGAGTCCCCTGCCCTCTACTGGCCTATGAGTCGCACTGAAATTTGTGCTCAAACCCACAACCCAGCATCAACACGGCAGTTGTTTTCCTATTTTTGAAGCTAAAATATTATTTGCAATTTATGGAGGTATCGGCATAACAAACTGGAACAAAACCTCAAATATAAAACAATATTTCAGCTTAATTACATTTCTTACTGCAGAGCTCGCTAGACAGAGAGGAGATTTGAAGTACTGCTGCTAGCAAGATAATAAATTCATTAACTGAAACCAAATTATAAGGGATTATCTAATTTTTGCAATGTTCATGCTGCATATCCAAGAAGTCTAAGACAGATTTTTTTTAACAAAATTCTTTTCCATGTATGCTGCTTTCTGGCTTATCCTATGCTTTCAAGATTACTGTCAGTCAAGCTGAATTTGGCTCAAGAATTGAAAGGCAGGTTCATGATTCTACAAATGCTCTTTTATGGCACCTAGGGAAATTTGCAGTCAGTTTTCTGGCTCATTTGCACCACTGAGACACAACCACAGGATGTCACAGGAAAATGTCTGCTGTGACTGATCGTGTCACTACCATGTTCTACTACAGATCCACTTAATAGGAGTCATCATCTAAATAGGAGTCATCATCTAAATTTCAGGACTTTGTAAGCAATCCTCCCCCTGGTGTAAACATAAAAAAAAGCCAAGATTTACACTGTTGTAATTATATTCTGAATGTAAAGCAGCTTGATTCCTGAAAAAATCAAAGTAAATTCTCCATGTAGACAAGGCCTAAACGGAATCGAATAAGCACATGGCTTCTGACAGTGAATTTAATCCAAAAGATAAATAAGCCTTTAAATCACATTAAAAAAAAATCAGCCTGAAAAACAGCAGCTTATTAAACACGAGAAAGTCTGATACCATCCCAGTAATTCCCACAGTGCCCATCAGTACCGTGAAACACGTTCAAAACGCACCCTGCTTTCCGAGCTGTCAAACAACAAATGCAGATGCAAAGCTGCCATCGCTCCACAAATACAGAATATGACATTTAAATACTGCCACTAAGGAAAAGTGGGAGACGAGTACAGCCTACACTATGTTCTTTTTCTTTTAAAGCAACTGATCTGTTAGTTACCAAATAGCTAAAAGACTCTTGAGACTAGAACAGCAGCACTGAAGGTTTCAGGGCAATCACATCCATTGCCTTTTTATCGTGGATAATATCTGTGGATTTTATTGTGTGTTAATGTCTACAGTATTTTAAATATTTTTAAGTTTATTAAGCCATATCCTAAAGCTAGGTAGGTTTTTGGCTGTCCTGCTTAGCCAAAATGTTTTTACAGATTATTTCTACCCATTTATTTTGTGTTAGAGTTGCCTTATACCTTAGCTGGTTCTCCTCCCACTGTGTTTTTTGTTTGCCCCCTGACATATACAGAGTGTAAATGCAACCTCTTCATGAATTTTCTAGGTTGAAATAACAGAATCTAAGAAAGTAGGATTAGCAGGTATTTTAAACATGACCTACTTCAATCTGCCTGTCTCCATAAATTAATAATGTTTCAAGTATACAAGAAAACACGTAACAGGCAAAAACTTTCCAGTGTAAATTTATAAGGAGGTGTTGCCAGACCTCGTGATTTGTCCCAGAATCTCTACGTTTTCATAAGTTCTAGCTCCTAGAGTCCTCTCTTTACTATATCTATGTAAAAAGAAATCCTTTGTAATTTTGTTTTCTGGATTACAAGATAGAGAAAAAACTTCTGCTTTATGAACAGAAAACTGGTGAAAAAGTGAGCTCAGGACAGAGCCAAGTATTAAGTACAGATTTCAGGTTTTCTGAGTCATGGTCATGTGTTTTAGGCAGAAGGCTAGTCTTCTTGTCATTATTAAACTACTGGAAGCCTAAGCTATCTTTTCAAAATTGACACTGCACCTCAATAACAATGAAATAGCAAGAATGCTTGCAAAAAGCAATCTTAAAAGTTAAACCCTTCATCCTTCTAAAGTTACTATCTGCCAAAACTTTGTCCCCATCTTACCATCAAAAAATTTCCAGGAAGCTAATTTAGAGTTCATACCAGTTTCTATACACCAGAAAGAAGAGGAATCACAATACCAACATTACTTTCCAGACTTATCTTTCTGCTTGATCTCTAGTGCCAATAGCTCTGCAGCTTTTTCATCACACTTACTGACTCTATATCCCAGCTTTTCAGCATGAATCCTCTTGGCCATGAACTGCCCTTCGATCAATGCTCGTATCTCCACCTCCTTTGGAAAGTCCGAAACCTGTATCAAAGAAGGAATACAGTAAGGTAACATTCACCTTATACAGCACACTACACCAAGTTGGAGAAGGGTTAGAATTACAGAACAAATTTATAGTTCATTATTCTTATTTTCACCTTGAAGCCTGATTTCAGCTCAGCCCCAGGTCTTCACTCATTCACACAAGGTGCTCCTAAAGACTCATGATAGAAAATGCAACCCACAGTACTGATAGCCAACCCTTTAGTCCTAAAAATCAGTGCATGATGGAAAGATGTTCTAGTTTTGATTGTAAATTCTCTACGTATTCCCCAGCATTAAAGGCCACTTAGATAACTGCATCTCAAAGCATGTAATACTGAAGTGAGTGGACAAAACACAGATGCATTTGGCAATGTCACGAAGAAAGGTTTAAATCTATTTCTGTCCATATAAAAGTGTAACCACTTTATATCTGTTCATTATTGTATTTAATTTCTATGTGTAACACTTTTCTTTTGCCAACCACCATATTAGAGAGGCAACAGAAATAAGAAAATAATGAAGTACAAAGCAAATACAGGGAATCTTTCACAAAAACTTGATTTTTTCCATGCCTTACAATAAGTACCTACAATTTGGATAACAGCAAGAAGTGACTATGCATTCATTTAAACAGTGAGTATTTAAGAGACTAAACTGCAAACACGAGATAGCATCAATCTCTGTTTATCTAAGTGAGGTCTAATCGACTGGGAGTCATGATTGATCAAAGACATCTGTTGAGTTTTGGTGCCACCTGGAAAGACACTGAAAAAAACATCCATTCTTCAAAAGAAAAAAAAAAAAAAGAAAAAAAAAAGAAAAGGGGAGAAAAAAAGGATACAAAATCTTTCTTCTCCATAACACAATTTCTGCTGTAATTCCCTTTAGGTATGGACTTAGAAACCACCACATGGCTTGTGGGTTACCCAAAGATGTGCGGGGCAGTAAAATGAGGTATTGTCTTTACATATCCTTTCAGAGTCAGATGAAACATAGTTCAAAACAGCCTCTGTGTGTCTTCAATTTACAAGTTCTCAATAAGCTTAAAGCTAACCCTGCTTTAGGAACAGTGTTGATTCCAGTAAAACTGTTTTCATGCACGGGAAGTATTTCATAAAAAAAAAACACCCTAGAGTTCTAGTTCAGACTTCGAATTGCAGATGCTCTCAAGCTACAGAGCAAATAATTCCTTAGGAGAATCATCCCAAGGACTTGCATCAATAAATGAAGCTCAAAAGCAAATATCTCAGATGAAAAAGATAATGGCAAAAGATATCAAGCCTTGACAGTACTTCTTCAAGGTTTTAGACACTAATGAGATTATTACTACCTTTTGGTTGTCTCGGTTGAATCTGTGAATCCCAACAGCTTCAGGAGTAATTTCCATCACATCAAAGTAGAAACCTGTATCAAGAAAAATTAAAGAGTCTTATGTTTTCACTGAGCTGAGAGTTGCATCCTTATTTCAGCACATAGATAAAATCACCATAAACATGTATCACCTATATGGAAAGAATATTTCAGCCTGCTTCATTAGAAAAAGCATTTCATTTTGGTAAAGTACCTCCCTGTGCACACACAAAAAGCACATAGCTTGTTTCTTAACTTAATTTCAGACCAGGTATTTATTGAATTTAATTTTATCACTATCAATTTACAAAGATGTGAATCTAAAAGATGGCTGGAGCCAGACATGCTTAATAGTTCATTAAAAATCTGAACAATAAAATAAGCAAGTCTAGATAACAGCAAGTATCCACATACACACAAGTAGGATAGATAACAACAAATCTTAGAAATAATTTCAGGAGGTCCTATGCAAGGATGAAAAAAAATGAACAAATGGTAGGTTAGTAAGAAGAGTACAGGAATAATGGGACACTTCATGCACTAGATTAGATTTTCTGAGCTTATTAGAGAGCACCAGATGTTACAAGCAGAACTGGTCTCTGAATAGGTTTGATGAGACCTGAAGAAATGTAGTAATGTTTTGAGGATAATTAGACAAAAGTGTGAAAAAGATTTTCTTTGTGCTGACAGCAAGAAGAATTGGTCAGAAAGATATTCAAGAAAGGAGAGAAAAAAAAAAAAAAAACAGAAGAAGATGAGGACAAGAACTTGGCAGATTAGCTAAGGAACTACAGAGGGTCTCTAAGGTTCAGATCTCTGGAATAAGAACACACCGTAGCTCTCCTATGAATATTATTCAAAGCTAAGAATAGTATTATGCTTTAGCATACATAACCTTAAATTAGGTTCAATATTAAATGTTTTTCAAGTATGTTTTTAAATTGCCAGCTAGTAGCAGTGTGGGGCACAGATGTGTGCGGGCACTCCCAGGGTAGGCCCAGCTCAAACCTCCTTTCTGGCCCTGCTGCCAGACTGGATCCAGTAGATGAGGCCTTCAAGCCAATTTCCTCTTCAAAATTTTCCTCCTATCTTCTCAAGTGCCTCCCACACACAACAGCAGCCTCATCTGTTTTCTGTTCCTCATTCCTGTTTCTTACCCCTATTTCTCCCATTAAGCCAGCTTTGCCTTAGCAGATGCCTCTGCCCATCTCCACATCTCTGAAGCCTCCAGTGGCATCTTCTGGCCCACCAGGAAGGGCAGGGGACAGATGATAAAAGGGAGGAAGTCTCACCCATTCCTTGCTTGTTTTGCTTCCCTCAGGAACTAAGACTTTACTTGTTTTTACACATGAACCTCATTCTCAAGTAACCCAGAGGTTATCTGAGGATGCAGGTTACTGAGGATGACTTCCATGAAATGTCCGTTCTAAAGGGGACTGAGTTCTCCAAGTGACAATAAAAAAAAATAAAACTTCAATGCAATGGCATCCTTGAAATAACAATATTCTCATCAACTTGCTTTTTCATTTCTTCTTCTTATATTACTATGTAAAGTGTTTGAATTTGGGGATTTGGATTAATTTCTTCCCATTTTCAGCAACACCTGAATTGATTTGCCTTCTAGTGAAAAAAGATGCCTTGCCATTTTAATACCTCATAGAGAATAGATTTCACGGACAACAGAAGTAAGTTTCTAAAAATGAAATCAGTACTAACCTCTGTCAAGCAGTGTTTCACACTGTCAAGAAACTATATCTTAAATTCACTTTTCTAGGGAATGAAGTCTACTATAGTTTAAATATCTGGATTAAAATTAAAAAAAAAAAAAAAAGGAAGAAAGAAAGAAACACTTTTCTAGACAGGTCTTTTAATTTAATTTTCCTCATATTAATTCAGGCCTAATACAATGATTCCAAATCCATCCCTAAAATGGTTTAATTTTAATATTGACTACACACAGGCTAATCTCTCCTCAGCTTACTCCAGAGCTACATATCACACCTGAAAAATAGTAAATTTTAGGAAAGAAAGTAATAAACATTTTCAGGGGATTGTTAATAATTTTAAAATATTTTTGTTGTCATTTTGTTTAATTTGATTCACTTAGCATAACATGAGAAAAAACAGAGATGAGATTCCAACTCCAACTGGGGAAAGTACAAAAAATCTGCTTATCATTTGATACTAGTATCTCTGCTGTGTTCATATGCACTTAACAGGGTCGTAAAATAACATTTGGACATCAAAAACTTTGCAGACTAAGAAAGGGAGAATACAGAGCCACTTCAGTCTACTTAGTTTCAGGCCTCAGAATAAAGCAGCAAACTTTAAGGAAAGCCTCTTTCAGAAATCACTAGCTTTAAAATCCTACTCCTAACAGGCTATTAAAAGGCTTTCCATTGCCAAAACAGTTCCATAAATATCTTCTTATTATTTACTGAGGCCTATTTACTAATGGTAAATCCTATCATGATCCTTAGCCTACTAGGACAGTATTTCTTGGAGTAGACATTAGGAGTTTTCCCTGCTCCAGTTAATGATTGGACTTTATCATGACCCAATTAAAATGTAGGTGCAAATCCCACAAAATTTTAAGTGTGTCTAAGGAAATCCTGGAATTCCCAGCTTTGCTAAGGCTCATACCCAAATTTCCATTGTTTCCAGCAACAGTTGACGTTAGGGCTTTGGAGAATTCATCCCAGGAGCCTGAAGCACAGTCATCTCTGATCCTCTCTCTCATTAGAGACCCGTTCTTAAAACTAAAACACACAAACACACCACAGGCATTTGCCAAACCATTTCGTCCTAGATTTTTAATGTAATTTCCTGTTTTACTTAGCATTGCTAATTTATTATATCAGATGAATATTAATTTATTATATCAGATGAATATAGCTGTGCAAACGAAGATGCAATCATCTCTTCCTTATGCAAAGGAGTGGAGAGGGAAGGAAATAAGGTAAGAAAGAGTGGAAATATTATGGGACCTGTTGAGGAACAGTGCAGAGATGCTGGGATAGCCCAGTGAGTCAGTTCAGATGCAGCCTGGCAGGCTCCATCTGCAGATGGAGCTAATTACTTGAGGGAGAAGTTCTTGAGAAGTTCCTGAGTTTCTTGAGGGAGAAGTTCTTGAGTTTCACAGAACTCGGGTTCTGTGCTGTGAGTGCAGAGGCAATGGTACCATAAGCAGCCACGGGTCACTCCGGCAAAGCTGATGCTAAAAAGCTCAGCCAGAGATGACTCTGAGGAGGAGCAAGAGTGGCCCCATATTATATTCCTGATTTCAGGAACATGGTGCTGGCACAGAGCCAGCTTGGGTCCAGTAAGATTTACGAGCTCTAGCTCTTGGCCATGATCTGGCAAGGAAAAGCAGCCCAGCTGCATTTGCATGGTTCTGTTCCAAGGCTTCTAACCCCTACTGGACCAAAACTGGCTCCGCTTTGAGCACAAGTAATCCAGAAATCCAACAATTAAAATTGCCTGTAAAAAATGCATCTGCTCAGTGCCCATAATCTGTGCACCCCCTATGCCTTCACTTCCTTGGTCTCCTCTGTGAATATAACACTCCTGCAATTCACTGCAGCATTTGAATGACTCTGCTTCAAAGGAAAGCAGCTTGTATGCTGAAGATATCTGAAGATACTGCCCTAATAACCTCAACTTTACTAATACTGTTCCCACATCCTACAGGATCCTATTAATGTACATTATAGATAAAAGGCAGATTTGAGCTTTGTTGAAGTTTTGAGTTTGGTTTTGTTGTGTTAGAGGTAAGGGGTAGTCAGGACCAGAGGGAACAGATTGAGTTAATCACAAATGACATCAAATCTGCACTTCAGAAACAACTTTTTTGAGCTACAAGCTATCTGACACATCTTTATTTTGGAATAAAGGAAACCATGTTACTATGAGAAATAAGCAATAGTCCAAATAGTGTGTATGTGTATATATATCTATTTGTATTTGTGGATGTATATATCTGTGTGTGTGTACATATGTGAGAGCCTTAGGAGGGCTGCATCAACATATTCACAACTAAAGTGTTGCCCATTTCTGAGGACCTTCCCAAGCAATAAAGATGCTTGATTCCAAATTATAAAGAGGGCTGCAGGGCCCCATCCATTCTCCCCTGCTAACAAATTTTGGGTTTCTGTGCACTCCAGGGGATTTAGACACAAGTTTTCTGTGTATTACTTGTAAATATATGCCTAGGTGGTCAGCCCATTTTGAAACTTTTCCCCTCTCAAATACAGTGACTCAGGGAAGGACAGCACAGCTTTACCCATCCTTCCACCAATTTGGCTGCCTAGGGGCCATGCTATTCCCTAACTGCAGCAACCAAATGCTACCATGAGGACCATTCTCACAGCTGGGCTTCTTGAGATCTTAGTATTTTCCACATGCAGAGCCTAATGTGTCTCTGGCCAGCACTGAGCACCCTCCTCTACGAGAAAGGGAATCTTCACCTACCCCGTTATGTCCCCTCTGGACCACTAGAACAGCACAAAAGTTACAAAGCCTGGTCAAGCGCCTGACATTACCCATCATTATATTTCAGATGATTGTTATTCCTGTACATTAAATATATTGCCTTAGATGCAAAGTGAGTTGACCCTATGTATGCAAAAAGCTAATTTCATCTTCTTATTGCCATGAAAATTATCCTCCACAACTCTGCAGTTGCAGTTACTCAAATTAAGCAATGTGAGTGTTATAATGTTGATGCAAATGTTTCAACTATAGATTGCCATTTACTGTACAGAATGCTGAATGTTGTATTCATTATCATTTTGCAAAAGAAATAAAACGCTAACACAGAGAAAGAAATATATCTTATTGATCCCAGATGTACAAAAAATAGATTATATTACCATAAAAGTGCCATATATGCTTGTGACTCAACGGGGTTGCAGAGGATATGACCTTCTAAGGCAGGAGTTGGTTCTTGGATCCAAAGAAACAATGTGTCACTTGTGCCAAGGCTAATCTAGAAGAAAAAAAAATAATTGAAGCCTTATCACAATGTGCATGGAAGGGGATACAGAAATTAAATTAAAACCATTTGTTATTACCACTAATTGTTTTTAAATTACACATTAAGTCAACTGGATTCATACTGAAGCTAGCTAGCTCTGACTTGTCACGTCAGTGAAATACACAGCAGACAGTGACAGTTTAAAAATATTCAGAGTTTACTTAAAATCCTTCAGCTAGCTTACAAACTGATAAAAAAAAAGCTTGAATGCTAAAAACAGATAATCAGCACTAACATTAATTCAACTGATAATCTACAATTATTGTGCATCTCACCATTTTACTTGTTCTGTCTTTCATTTATTCAGGGATATAGATAGTTTTTCAGGGATATGCTTGGACTTACTGTAATATCTCCTTCTTGAAGTCTCATCCCTGCCAATGATGCTGAAAGCAAGAGTCAGAGCAAGAAATACAAAGTTATTCAGGTGTCTCAGTTTGAGTATGCTTCATGCTGGTCATGGCTATATAAGGGCATTTTGGTTTTGTGAAAGAGGGGAAAAGAGTTTGGGTAAAGGAGCGATGCTGAGCATAGAATCAGAATGCTCTGCACAAAAAAAGTACAGAATTACAAGATTTTTCCAGGGCTTTACACATTCAGGTTCTAAGAACTGTGGACTCTTATTTAACGTGGCACTTTAAAGTACAGAAACTCCCACTTATGTCAGATCATTGACATATTTATTACCTTAAGATAATAATGGAGTTTTAGAAAAAAAAAAAAAAAAAAGGCATTTGGGGGAAATTGTTTAACCACCTCTTTTAATATATACACCAAATATAGCATAATGTTAGTGTGACACAGCCTCCACCTCAATTCAAACCTGAATATGCAACTGTAGCGTGGCTAGATGTTTTACTTTTGTGATCTTAAGAAACAGTCCAGTCTTTAGGAGCCCTGAGACTGACCACATATTAACACTGTCCCTTAAACTGAGACCTAGAGAATCATCTCCACCTTTCAACTTGACAAATCACAAGTCAAAAGTTTCTGAATCAACATTTTCCTCATTAAAATAGAAGTAATTCATACTAGGAATAGCCTCTTAGGTGAAAACAAACCAAAATGACACCAACAAGGGTTAAATGAAGATGTCTCTAATTATGAGGCAAAAGGGAATTCATGTGTAGTACCCAGCTTGTACAGTATGTCTATACCTGAGAAGAAAGTGATGTAAGGCTGTTGGAAAAAAAAGGTATTAATGGTGACAGAAGTGTATAGGGAGCACTTGAGAATTAATGAGATTGATTTTAGAGATTTAGTTTGTAAATAATCATATCCACTGAGTCTTACACATTAATCATCTCACCTGGATTGTCTCCTGTAAATGCTACTATTTTACAGTCTGGGCTAAACCCATAACGCTTAATATAATAAGGAGAAATAGGCCCCTAAAGAAAAAAAAAAAAAGAATACACAGTGAAAAAAGCTAAAAAATGTAAAGTAACCTTGCAAAATAAGACACAACGTGCTGTAACAACGAAAACAACAATCCCAGAGCAGATGGGATAATTACCTTTTTGGATTTGAGACATAAATATTCTAGAGATTTTGAAATACTTTCTCTTTTTTATTTTTAAAAAAAAGAGAATCTCACAGATACCTCTCAGATTAGATTTTGAAACATGTTAAGTAAATACTAACATTTTAACTCTGGAACTTCATAAATATATCCATCTATTTTGCACATGTTCCTGAATATTTACCCACAGAAATTATAAATTCAATTATAAATTCAATGCAAGCCTAAAAGCAAACACAACATTAATTAATATCACAACATCATATACTAGCATATGGCCCCTGCTATTTCAAGGGCAAGAATTCTCTTGTTTTAACCATATTTGATTGCCAAAGAGAAGAAATTTTAAAAAGAGAGAGAGAGAGAGAGAAAGAAATATATCCTTAAAAAATATGAGGACATGGGTAAGCATTTTTAGTATGTTCTTCCTCTTTTATAGATGACTGGCATTGGAATTACAAGCTAGGTACTTTACTAGTGCTGAATTCAGAGGGATGCACACTCTTAAAATATGCTGCACCTCTAGCACCAGCCTTTCCTGTGCTGACTAGTAAGACTAAATCAACTTCTACTTTAAGAGACATTCAGCTTGATTTGATTTCACTGTTTGTTTGGTTTTTTTTTTCACGTGAACTGAGGAGCTTTAAATATCCAAAATAATTCATAGAGAGTAACTCATTAACTCTACGAATGGTTTAAAACAAGGTCACTGTTAGGAAATGCAAATGCTGGGTTTATTCCTGCTACACACATGCTGTGCACAGCTCTGCAGTGACCAGGTGCTTGTGGGCACATAGGCAGGAGGAAAAAACACAGATTCTTATCACTGGACCATCTGTCAAAACTTCTGTTTTCGCACCCCAGGGCATGCAGGAATCCGAGAGGATGCACGATGAAAGCCATGACAGACACCAACAACTAAGTGTCAAAGGTGTCTGCTCCTGCTCTGGCATATACATTTACAACACATCTGGAAATACTAAATGAACCAGCACAGCTCCGAGGATTAGAATGCATGGAAATACACACAAAAATATATGCCAAGAAAGTCCCATTAGTTGAACTTTCAGTACATAGCCCAATTTCTTCCAATGACAAGCTAATAACAGCTCTTCTGGACAGGAACATACCAGGACTGAGTGGGATGGCACAGGGCATCCTAGTTTCTCAGCTAATCCAGGTGCACAAGCATCAAGGCAGGACTTGGACCATTCCTTTTCACGAATCTTCAGCAAATTCATCCCAGAACCTAGAAGACATCACAAGAGGCACCATAAGTCATTAAACACATACTTGGTATGGAGAAAACAGGCAGCATTGCATCAAAATAGAATTTCAGTTCTTGTAAGCATAAAGAGTGCTATTATAGGTGGTGACTGAGCCTCCGCAGAGCTTTCACCTGCTAAGGTAACAGAAAATGTCACTATCTAAATCCATGCTGACTAATCATTTATTATACCATTGCTTTCTTTTTCAGAGAGGGAGGAAAAAAAAAAAAAAGTTGAGGTCCAAAAAATCAACAGATCAAATTTTCAAAAGCAACCTCTAAGGCTAACTTGGAGAGTCCAGCTTTAAATATGTAAGTCATGATTTTCAGAAATGTAGAACAGCCCAGCTGAAATCTGCAACTGCTGCATGTGTGCAATATCTCCCAAAGGAGGATTTAGGGAACGAATTACTGGTTGCTCTGCCTTACTGACTGTTGTGACCACCTAAATTCGCTACTGCTCAATTTGGGGAGATACTTTTACCTTAGCTTCTCTATGTGCATTTTTACTTTAGTTTCTCATTTCATTTCTCACTATTTTTATTTGCACTGTTTATAAAAAAGTTAATCGAATTTGGTTAGTGAGCACTCCATATCTGAGCACTCCACATCTCTTTCCCATATTTCTAAGATGTCTTTAGTTGCACATTTCATTAGACTTGAAAAATTTGTACGTGTTTCTGGTTAGTGCTGTTCTGGGACAACTCTGTCTTATTCTGGATTAACAACACATTCATTTCAAAGACCATTTAGCCCATGACTTGTTTATCTCAGAAACACAGCAAAGCATGGTGGAAAAATCCAGAATTTACTTCAATTCATCTTTTACAACAGCGAGACAGTGAAGCTGACCCAGTACCGTGGGATGAGGTGCAACCCACATCTTGGCCAGCAGGTCACAAGGCTCTTGCTCCAAGCACGGGGTGATCCTGCTGTGCACTCCACGTGCACACACTGCTGCTGGCTGCACCAGAGCAAATGCTGAGGCATAATCCTGCATTAATCCGGGACAAAGCGCAGGAAATCTGGATTATACTTAACAATATATAAAATTAATTTTATTAAATTCAATCAGCCTCATTCCATGCAGAGGAAATACAGGTAATAAGTTATGCACTAGTAATTTGCCCTAAAATGTAAAAGCAGGAACTTGATCGAGCCCAAAGTGCCACATGTCTCCCGTGGGCAAAAGGTGCATCTCCCTTTTCCACTGTCAAAATCTCTGGCACCAAGGGGCACAGAAAGACAGCAGGACTTCTTCCAGCTTCTGTTGTTTAAATGAGAACACTCCTAAAATTAGCCCTCCATACACACACACTTCCTGGGTAAATTGAGGCTAGCATCACCAGCCTCACCGAGAGGACATGGAAGGTGCAAAAAGCCTCTTCCCAGGCCTCTGGGCCTACCATACATCCTTCCACCCATCCATCCATCCCTCCTTCTAAAAATTTCTTGCAAAAGTAGTTCCTAGATTAAAAAGTTAATGTAATTTAATCAATGAACAATAAAATCTTTAAATAATGAAGATTTTTATTAGAAAAGGGGATTGTTACTTGTTATAAAAAATCTTTCATCCTCTTAAGTTAGAAAAACATATACAGAGAAACCAGAGTGCTCAAATACCATTTTGCAAGATGGAAGGGAGCCCCCCATCTTTCCTAGATAAACAGTAACATTTAAAACTGACAAGTCTAAAGTTATACGATGCGCTGACTTGTACACAGTCACACAAAGACTCCAGTATGATTTGAGAAAAGAAAGATGAGCTAATTAACCTCTCCATCCAGAACTCACTGAAAAGATGTAAAACAAATATTTTACAAGAACTATTAAGCTATTGGTCTGGGTGTTTCCTATCTAACTTTAAGTGCTTGCATGAGGCTTTTTAGACAATGGAAAGAAAAAAAAAAGAGCTGGCTGTTCCCCGGAACTGCTTTTATTTCCCCTTTGGTTATAAAGGGAGTGATGGAGAGTGAGTTCCTAACCTGATCCCTTCTGATCACGATCTATACGGCTGCAAAAAACAAACAAAATAGCTTAAACACGGTGCTCTGATTTTAACATTTAAAATAAGCAAGAATTTGGAGATTAAAGGGGTCAAGATTGTGATAGATAGATAGATAGATAGATAGATATAGATATAGATAGATAGATAGATATAGATAGACAGACAGACAGAGCCAAGGCAGCCCTTTGACTTGTCACTCTAAATGGAATGGATGCCCCAACACAATGAATAGAGTCAATAGCCAAGGTCACGGTCTGGTAAAGATGAAGAAAAGGGTCAATACGTGGCTGAACAGGATTCAGCATCTCACTGCAAGCATCACTGGCTCTTAATGCAGAACGGCCTGAAGCACAATTGGGGCTTGGTAACATTCACTAGAGATAGCAGAGTCCAAGTGCTTCAAGGCCGGAGAAAAACAATTTCACTACAAAGGCCAAAAGATACAGACTGACTGGTTTTAATAATCAACAAAAGATCAATATTTGAATACATTTATAAAGAGGTAAGTGCTTCTGTATCACAGCACTCCGGACTGCCCTTGCAGTGAGTTTCAATCCTAGGCCGTGTAGCTCTCCTGACACCAAACAGGGCTACGTTAGGAGCTAATTCAGCCCACCTTGCTTCCTTTTGAAAAGGAAAAGGCCTCAGTTCAAAGCCTCCTTGTCGGATAGAACAACAAAAACAAGTATGTTAAGCTAAGATTTGCCTAAGGCTCTTAGGAAAGCATTTCAAAAGATAAAGCTTCTTTAGGTCAAGAGCTGAATAGCTGTTATTAAGGTGTCTTCTAAGAGACAATGCCCTGAGTGGTGCAGTTGTTTAGGTCCCAAAGGTATCTTACTGTTAACATCTGTCCAATATAAATGAAAATCACTCTGCCTTCTTCCAGAAAGTATTTTTTTAAAGGAGAGATTTGAGCCTTATGAGATTGGACCTTTAAGAAGGAAAAATATCCTGAAACTGGGTAATGCGTTTCCGAGAGCAACCTGCAAATTTAGAGAGATAAGTTATTGTGCAGAGCTAAACAATTTGACAGGGCCTTTTAAAGAGGATATGACCCAAAGTTAAACCCACAGAACTGAAGAATGGGTCTATTATCTGAACATTATTTTGAGAGATGCGTTTCAAACTATAATATACAGGTGCAACATAAAGGATCTAGTGAATTGGTGGTAAAGGACAAGAAAACAAGTTTTTCGGTTGGTTCCTAATAACTATTGCATACGTTATAATTATATTTTATTACTAGAATTAGAATTCTCTGTCATTATGTTAACAGAAGAAAAGAACACATAACACAAAATACAGCTTACAATGCTGCAAAAACTTTTATCTTGTAACAGCAGAATTATAATGTCCTGCTTAACTCTCTTCTCTCTTTCCCCCACACATTTAATAATCTTACATGCTCTGAACAGTAGCTAATATTTATTCAAGTTATTTAACTATCCCGAGATGTAACAGGATTAAAAGGATCTTGTAGATCTTGTCTGGAAAATGCAATGCAAAATGTCTTTGCCAGAAAAAAAAAATATCTGGAAAATCTCACGATCTCTATTTGAAAGGCAGGACATGGAGCTGGTTCTGCAGGTTGCTGAGTAGCTGAAGTGCCCAGTACTGGGGTCTACTGAGGAGTAAAGTACAAATCTTCAAAGTTTCTGTTGCCCATAACCCTCAAAAAACAAAACGTAGCTGTGGAAATAGTCCTGTAGCAGAACAGGACCAGAAGATAGATGCAATAATCTCGCAATTGCTTCAAAATGGGCATGGATTGCCTTTCAATTTTTAAGGTCTCAAGTATAAATGGGAGACTCAGTATTGAATAAGCTGTCCATTAGCTCGAATTGAAATGTCTTGCCTTTTCCTCTGAGGCTTGTTGGAATAACAAAGGAGGAAAAAAAAATGAGTTGGTCTTCACACATGGGTGTCAAATCTGGCTCTGTAATGCAAAATTTCCTTGGAGAGCCTTATTATCCAACCTTTCAGCCCTGAAATACATCCTCTCTTAGATTCTGAGCAGGAATCAAAATGCTATTTAGAAATAACAGAACAGCTCCCAGAAAAAAAGGTTTCTTTGTATTTTCCACTTAAAATTGCTTTTTAAAAGCTGGATATTTGAGATAACATGCAACAGAGAAAGAGACATTGGCCTAGTTGCTTTTTTTGCCTTTGTTCTGATGGACAGGGAGATATGAAAGGTTGTATTTTTTAAACTGTTTGCTTTTTTTTTTCTTCCTTGGTTTATGTTTTTATCCTGACTCATTTTGAAAAGATGCTTCTATTGCAGATCTGTTCTCCAGTCACAATATACCTATTGCTCACATCTTGTACAATGCAGAGTAAAATTATCAAAATCAAAGGCAGAACTATTAAGTGCAAAAAGGGAACCACAACTTTTTAGACTTTTAGACAGGTATTTCAACACTCCTTCATGCATCCTCATGTAATGTAAGAGGATACCATTTCATTTAAAAGTATTTCCCATAGATCTATTTTATAGGAATGGAAATTATAGTATGATGGGGATAAATGAGCAGAGTTGACAGCACTCTTGAGAGCAGCAACAAGCTGAAAGAAGTAAATTAGCTTAAAAATTAATAACCTTGTCATAAAAGTTTAAAAACTGAAAATAAATGTCAAAGACCTTCCCCTCCCCTTCCAAGTGAGGTGTGGATGGAGAAGAAAACTTTCTTGTTGGAACTGTTACTGGCAGGAAAGGCCACACACTTACCATCACTGTAATCGATGGCTGCATACGCTCCTAGAAAAAGGGAAGCTGCAAAACTACTAACCAAAGAGATTCTCTGAAAGAAAAAGATACTGTGAGACAGTGACTCCCATCAGCATTCCCTTTAAAGAAAGTAAATAATTAAGTAATTGGAAGAAGCAATTGCTAATAGATGCTTAATGTTAGATACACAAAGCACAAAAAATACAACTAGAAAGATTAGAAAGATTATTTTATTCTCTATTTCCCTGACTAAGCAGTACAACAGATATCAGTCAAAAATGAATCCGGTGATAAAAGCTGTTAATAGCTTTGCATTCTGAAACATGCAAAATACATCTACTATATTAGCATATTCCATATCATCAGGAATTAATTTAGGAGAGTAATGTACCTCACAATCTGATTTCAAAAAAAAAAAAAAAAAAAAAAAAAAAAAAAAAAAAGAAAAGAAAGAAAATCAGTATGTTGACAACAAGGTAAGAGGGAAATGCACTGGTCAGTCCTGAACCCCTTCCAGCAGTGCAGCCCCGGGATGTGTTTCAACAATACATTAAGTCCTGGCCCCAAAATACCCCAGCCATGTGGCACAAAGCAGGGATGCAACAAGAACTTGCTGCCAGTTCCAATCTACTAAAACTGCCAGGATTAAGTACTGCCCGTCTCCCAGAAGCAGAACAATTCCTCACTCTGCTCCCATTCCAAAGAAATATGACTGTCACCCAATAGCTAATAGGGATCAAACTTCCACTGGCGGTGTGAGCCAGCAGCGACAGGGTTTGTATTAGTGACCACAAAACCACTGCTCCACACAGCACCCAAAGACTACAGGCAGAGCTCAGAGGTGGTTGTTATTCAGGAAATTTAAAGACACACTTGCTCTTCTTGGGCCTGCGCCCAGGAAGGTGTTTGCACTGGACAACAGAGCCTACCTGTCGGGTTGCCCCAACGGGCACTAGCTGCCTGGAAGGGAAGGAAAAGGGTGACGTTAAACTGGGAAGCTGCCTGTTTAGCCAGTAGCCTGAGAGGAGGGAAAATACCCAGCATTGAGACTGCCACGTTGCTGAGTGCAACGTTGAGGGTCCCCAGCAGCAGCTCCGGCGTGGAGTCACAGAATCACAGAATCCTTAAGGTTGGAAGGGACCTCTAGAGATCATCTAGTCCAACTCCCCTGCACACGCAGGGTCACCCAGAGCATGTAGCACAGGGCGGCAACCAGGTGGGTTTTGAAGATCTCCTTCACAGGAGACTCCACAACCTCCCTGGGCAGCCTGTTCCAGGGCTCTGTCACCCTCACTGTCAAGAAGTATTTTCTTAAGTTCCTGTGGAACCTTTAGTGTTTCAGTTTGTGGCCATTTCCTCTAGTTCTACCAGTGGCCATCACTGAAAAGAGGCCACCCCATCCTCCCCACTCCCTCCCTTGAGGTGCTTATACACGCTGATCAAGTCCCCTCTCGACCTTCTCTTCTCCAGGCTGAACAGGCCTAGCTCCCTCAGCCTTTGCTCACAGGGCAGATGTTCCAGGCCCCTGATCATCCTCATGGCCCTGCGCTGGACTCTCTCCAGCAGCTCCACATCCCTCTTGTACTGGGGAGCCCAGAACTGGACACAGTCTCCAGATGTGGCCTCACCAGGGCTGTGTATAGGGGGATGATCACCTCCCTCAACCTTTTTAATGCACCCTAGGATTCCAAAGAAAGTTTGTGCTGGAACACAACTTCTTTCATGTCTGTTATTGCTGAAAGGGGCCATCAAGACAACCACTCCTCAAAGCCTGGCTAGATCTGTTCCCAAGGCCCCATTTTCCCCTAAAATGAAACATCTTTTTCTGCATTTAGCCTTCAAATCATAATCAGACTGCACTGGTCGTCTATCTGTTTCATGCCCTCCTTCAGCAATATGAGGATTATACAGTGAACAGGCATCAAGAAAGGAAAAATTTTAAAGGGAAGTTATTTTCTCACAAAGTACAGAGTCAACAACAGGACTCACTTCCTCATGAATTTAATGGTTTCACACAGGGGTTAGATTTTTAAAAGCACAGAAAACTGAAGATCAATACTGTTCAGAACTGGAATAATACAAAACACAGGCAGCCCAACGTCACGTGTCTGGGTGCTTGGGAGATTTGAATCTCAGGGCAGGAGCCCTCCCCTCCTTTGCACTGCAGCATGTGGAGTCTTCACCTTGCTGCAGATCAGAGCATTTTAGTCCCTCCTAGATCCAGACTCAAAGTGAAATAATAATGAATTTGGTCACTGATTCTTAAAATTCAAAATATGAAGGAAAACAACTACACAGGGTAATTCATTGGTAATAACAGAACCAAAGTAGCTCCTCAAGGGGAAAAAAAAATATGAAAAAGTTTAAAATCCACTGCAATTTTTGTGTAGCAGAACAATCGCATTTCTGCATACAAATGGCCAACTTTAGGTGTAAAAACTTCAATTGTGTGTTTAAATATCCATTTCCAAGTGTTGGAACTGCTGTATAGACAATTTATTACCATCCAAATGCAAATCTACCTTTTAAAACTTCTTCCACATCAGTCAGATTGAAAGGATCCCACTGTGACAAATACTCAAGATGAAATTGATGCTTCATTTTTATCTCCCTAGAGACTTATCATTTATCAAAAAGAGAAAATATGATTCCAGTATTCAAATTTAATCTTAAAATTAAAAAAAAAAACTTCTCTTTGGTAATTAAATAAATAATCTGATATCTCCATAAAATTCATTTTAAAAGATTTTAAACTGTGATTTCCAATAATTATATTGAAGTTGAGCCAACCTCTGTTTGCATGTAGACCTCAGGATTCTGGCTGTAAATCTTTGCTATCTGGTTTCCTGTAAAACGCTGAGAAAGAAATGCAAATACTTAGAAACACAAACCCTAAATGGAGTCAATAATCATTAACTCTGTGTAATGAGTTCAGCACATTGCACTTTGGATATTTAATTTGCCTGATGCATGATGAAAGTCAGTGCACAGCAAGCAATCTGCACTGAACAGGCTATAACACATAGTCTCGTTATGAGAATTTTGCTCACCTTTTGGGGAAAACAAGCCCATGGAAAAGCATTGCTATCCATAGCTTACATTTCAGAAATGACAGTTCAATAGAACGAATCATACCTCTCTGTGAGGAAGGCAGGAAGAATCACACTCAAGGAAGCAACTCCAGAGCAGGCCAATAGTTCATTGCTTTCCAATAAGAAATATGTCATTCCAAGATGTGAAATGACAGAAGAAACTTCTAACATTGAACTTGTGAAAAGCTACCTGATTGCCCTTAAGTTAAACATAAACTGTCACTAATAGATAAGGTCCAACTGCAACTTTGACCAGAAGCCTTAGATGATGATGCAAAACAGAATCAGCAGTCTGGGTGCTTAGAGCCTCATTCTGTTAAATTAATAGTAAAATCTCCTACCCAGGTGCTGAGGTGGCTGGAGGACAGTCCTGCTCTCACTCCATAAGTCACTGTCACAGGTGCAAGGAAGGGAAGTGTCAGGAAGAGCTGATTGACAGAGCATTTTCTGATGTCCTGCTCTTCTGAAACTCGCTTCTCTCTTCTGCTTGTTAGCCTTAAGGGAACACTGAAAAGCCTATTTTCTAATTGCAGAAGTAATCTAGAGCAGTGATTCCAAAACAGGGGGTCATAATCCCAAGGAATCCTGTGTGATTTGTGCACTGAACTGAGACCCCAATGGAAATTCAGCTGCACAGGAGATCCCAGGGAGAACTACTCCCTGAGCCTGTAAGCGAGGCTGCCAAATTCTGTGTTTGGGAATCACTGACCAAGTGCAATAACTCGCCCTAGTGACTATTTCTGCATTGCTTTGTGCTGCACAATCTTCAAGCTAATTTGCCAAGCTGCATTTTAAAATTTCCAAAGAATATCTTTCTTTGCAGTACTATTGAAAAAGAGTAATATCATCAGGCTTGGAATAAATCCTTCCCTTTAACATATTATGCACTAGCTTTTCTAACAGCACAGTAATGGCAAAATTGTTTTGATCACGAGCCTCTACCAAAGACTTCTACTCTCTCCTTAGCTGCTTCTTACCTCATAGGCTCGAGAACCTGTGATATTAGCCAGATGTTGTGCTCCTCCAACGGCCTTCTCCAGAGAGCTGCATTGGGAAGCTGTACTGGAATCCATCCAGATGGGGCTGTCACTGATGGAAAAACAATCCTGAAATGAACAATATATTTATTAGCAAGACAAAACTCTCTAACGGCCCTACAGGAGGGATAATAATACAGCACACATTGGAGTTTCTATCAACACAGCGTGACACTTCGATCCTTTCAGAGGTAAATGTACATTGGTCTTTTTTATATATTTTTTTCTAATGAAATCTTAAGCATTGCAAGGAAACTCAGGTAATTCCCACCACAGTTACTTTCTATTAATACAAGGAGCAATAAATAAACACACAAATAAACATCACAGCTTGTCTGCAAAAACATTATGTTTCCTAAAGGAATGAGCAGGGTGTTGCTCTGATCCAGAAGGATTCTGGGACCCCTCACTGGCACCTGGAAGTTTTTAAAGCAGCGTATATTGACATTCAGGAGAACAGAAGTTGAGAACTCTGAAGCTGAAGGGAATCCTTGTTCAGAAAAAAAGACTCTCCCTTCAGAGACTCTCCCTTCAGAGCTCTTTTATTCATATTACCTTTAGGGTCTGATGTAAAGGTAGTTCACATGATGCATTTTTTAAAACATCAGCACTTCCTTTTTTCCAATATACACTCCCATGTTGCTGTAGAAAGTACAAAATAGTACAGAAACAGAAATCAGAAATGGTCCCAGTTTCCCAGGTTCATATTCTTATCTGAATTTCAAACTCTAATGGAGAGAGAACTCTCTCCAAACTGGAAAACAGAAAAATAAAAGCACTTTTTCAATTCAAACCAATTGCTTCATTAAAAGACTTTTCAAGATTGAACAAAGTACATAAATCAGCAAAAGTAGGAGACTAGAGAAAATGATGTCTTTGAACTATAGCAACGGCTGGTGGAAGTAACTGCCAATCCATGGTGCTAGCTGCTTTCTTCAAGGGCTCTTTGAGTCGCAGCCAGGGCTCACAGACCCAGGTGCTTTAGCCACCTGCCTGCCCCAGTTATTCCAACAACCAATATCTGCTTTCTGGACTCCACCTGCTAGCCAAGCAGCACCCAGGCTGAGAGCAAATGCCACCACGTGGTCACTTCATCCACTATTTCCAGTCAGTGTCTGCCCTCGTAACAATTTTCAAGGTAGTGACTCTGTTAGAGGCACTTTGCCCACTGCTAACTTGCAATGCAATGCTGAGAAAGTTATTTAAGCTGCAGTCCTCAGGTGTCTTCCTAAAACCAGGCACCTCTACTTGTTGAACTTGAGGCCACAAAAGGCAAATAGCAGAGCACAATCCATGGGCCTATTAACGGTTCTGATGAAATTAAATGCACACACATAAGCCCCTGGGAACAGGGTACAGCACAGCATCGTACAAACCATATTTAATGTCACTCTATTAGTTCTGCTGATAATTGAGACCAATTTTGTCCCTTCTTTTTGAGAGGCACATGCACAGTGCACTGCTTGTGATCTTCAGCACAGAGAAAAGGTCCTTGGAAGAGAAAAGAGAGATGGACAACACTGGTTCTGAGGTGGCAACTGAGTAAAATCCCTTGTACTTGAAGAATCTGAGTGTTTCACAAAGTTGTCACCCCCAATTTGTTGGAGCAAGGAAGAAAGAAAAGAGGAATAAGCAGCTTTCACTTGAGTAAACTGCAGTTACCCATCTCAATCCCTAACTTTTGTTCCTTTGAAGAATTTGTAACAGAGCCTTGAGCAGGCTCTGGTTTCCAGACACCTAGCTCAGACCTTTTGCTGAAGTTAATGAAACACGGAGATCAAAGCAACTTTGATTAATGAGTCCCAGAAATATCAAGATGTATAACCTAAACCTAGTGCACCTTATCACCACAGTGCTGCCCTCAGTGCAAATGTCATTTTACAGATCCGTTAAAGGTGTTAAAAAATTTCCTTGACTCACTTGACACCTTGACTTCCTTGAGGTCTAGGAGACTAGCTGTCTGACCAAGCGTCAAGATGGGTTTTATAATCCTCCAGAAAAGCTATTATGCATTATAGACTAAATCATGGCAAACGCCTTGCTGGGGAGCATACAATGTCTTCTTTACATCAAAGACGACCATAATTTGGCTTCCATTGTTCCTGCAATCCTGAGATCTCTATTCTCTCTGACAAAAAGTGTGTTCAATAGGATATTATTGTTCCTTTAGCAAACTACTCCTCCCTCATTTTTCTCCCCCATTTCCATGAGCACCTACACATGCTGAAATACAAAAAGACTCCAGTCTGCAAAACCATTTTAAATCAGACTGTACAGACAATATGAACAATCGTAAACCAAGCAGCTATGCACTACACTAATCTAAACCACTGCACTAAACCACCATTCCCACTACCTCCTAGAGACTGCTCCAATGCACTTCAGGCTTTAAGATTCCTTGAATAAGACGCATCTTTTAATGGATGTTTCTACAGGAGTTCTGATCTTGATGACTTTACTTTCTTCTGCAATAAATTTTAGTGTAATGCATCACTATCCCTTATGTTCTACTGGGGGAATATAGTAAGACTGAATTTTGTCTTTATAAACTAACCTGACCAGCACCAGACAAGGCTCTCACTTGAGAGAAATTAAATCCAGAAGACTTCATCTTTTCCAAAATCATATCCAGAGCCTACAGGAATAAACAGAAAAAAAAGGGAGAAAAAGTATGACAGTAACAAACTACCACACAGGGAGAAAGAAAAAAAAAAAAAAGCTTAAAATAACCTGAGTCATAAAGGACTGTTCTTTAAAACTGAGCCAAAAAGCAAGGTTTAAAGCACTCCATTAAAAAAGCAACTTTTAAGAGTGCCAGGCACAAACACAATTGTCTTATTCTCTTTTTACCTCTGGAAACCCACCAAATCTTTTAATGATGTGCACCCCATCCTACAAGATGACAAGTATCCTTAAAACCACTGACACCAGCATGTGATAAAAATTCAGAATCTCTTTAAGATAAGGTGCTAATTCAGACAAACGTTGGCACTTCAAGAACTTAGGATAATTCTTTTCTTTTTGTCACATTTTAAATTTTAAAGTCAAATATTAATCTGTCTTCATATACTCTGATACAGGTCAGCAATCCTCTGGCTTCTTTGACAAATGGGCCATTACAACACTTGAGAATTTCCCATGAAACATATGATGAACATATATCTATATCATTATGTTATTAATTTAACCATTAAAAATGTTTCTGCTTATTGGGGTTCAAAAGACCAACTGTGACCAATTTACCAAGACTTTGTGGCTCATCATTTGGAACTACTGTGGATCACCAAGTGGTGGCTCTGTGACCATTAAAATGCCTTAGCTCTTCAAATCACACTAGTAAGACACATTTATATAGCACCATAGATAGCACCAAGAGACCAAGGGTCTACTTGGAAGCACAAAAAGTCTGCTTTGAGAACAAGAAAGAAGGTTGTCTGCATTTCAAAATAAACACCAGTCAAAGTGACTGTGAATAAATGAGTAAGTTGTTCTTTAAGCACTTAAAACTTGAGGTTATCAATTGGCTAGCAAAGTTTATTCTAAGATAGTGCAAGAAATAGATGCTGCAAAAGCACAGATTAAACTAGGCAAAGCTGCTTCCTTTTTCATGTGAAACAAGAGGAGGGGAAAAGTATAATATTGCTGAAATGAGGGAACTTCAGGAAAGGGTTTTTCATGTGTACAGCATTATAAAAATGGAGAAAACCTCAGAATTGTAACAGCTTTCACTGTGCTTGTTGGTAACATTAACATTTGCATGCCACAGACATAGCACACGAAAGTAGCAAGTAAGCAGAACTAGGTTGGTTTGAAAGGCAAGTTTCACTGCTGCTTGTAAAACCCTTTTAATAATCATAGAATCATAGAATCATAGAATGCCGAAGGTTGGAAGGGACCTCAGAGGTCATCCAGTCCAACCCCCCTGCTCACACAGGGTCACCTAGAGCACGTGGCACAGGGCTGCGTCCAAGCGGGTTTTAAAGATCTCCAAAGAAGGAGACTCCACAACCTCTCTGGGCAGCCTGTTCCAGGGCTCTGTCACCCTCACTGTCAAAAAGTGTTTTCTCAAGTTCCTGTGGAACTTTTGGTGCCTCAGCTTGTGGCCGTTTCCTCTAGTCCTATCACTGTCCACCACTGAAAAGAGGCGGCCCCCCTCCTCCTCACTGCCTCCCTTGAGGTATTTATACACGCTGATCAGGTCCCCCCTCAGCCTCCTCTTCTCCAGGCTGAACAGGCTCAGCTCTCTCAGCCTTTGCTCATAGGGCAGATGGTCCAGGCCCCTGATCATCCTGGTAGTCCTGCGCTGGACTCTCTCCAGCAGCTCCACATCCCTCTTGTACTGGGGAGCCCAGAACTGGGCGCAGTACTCCAGATGTGGCCTCACCAGGGCTGAGTAGAGGGGGATGATCACTTCCCTCGACCTGCTGGAGATGCTTTTCTTAATGCACCCCAGGATCCCGTTGGCCTCTTGGCCACCAGGGCACACTGCTGCCTCATGGTCAACTTGTCGTCCACCACGACACCCAGGTCCCTCTCTGCGGGACTGCTCTCCAGCAGGTCCACCCCTAATCTGTACTGGTGTCCAGGGTTATTCCTCCCCAAGTGCAGGACCCTGCACTTGCCCCTGTTGAACCTCATGAGGTTTCTCGCCGCCCAGTCCTCCAGTCTGTCCAGGTCCCTCTGGATGGCAGCACAGCCCTCCGGAAGGGAGGGCTGTGGAAGGAAGAAGTCAAATCATATATATCATACACTGCAAATGCGTCCAAGAGGGAAGCCTGTTCTTACCTTGACCCACATGAGCACAGGAGAAGTGACTGTTAGTCTGTCACTGTGAACATAAACTCCACCTTGAGTCCTATAGAAAGACAGTATTTTCTTTTGGTAAATTCACCTTTTATTTTTTTTTTCTTTCCATTAAGCACAGTTCTTTATATTTATTTATTACCAAAGAGAGTTTATCCAGCTTTTTTGTTTACAGCAAGGGTAGGATCAGTATTTGAAACCTAAAAAAAGAGCCAAATCTTTCCAAACAGAATTAAGAGATAAATAAAATTACATATGTTTGACCTAGTTATAAAGAAAATAGTTAGCAAAAAAGGGATCTGATCCTAAAGTAAGATCTGTGATGCTGATACAATTCATTAGCTCTACCTAAGTAACAGTTCTCTCTGTTTTGAAATTTTCACTTAGTGGCTTGAATTTACAAGATGCAATTTGGTTTTTGCCTTTAAGCCATCAAGTTAAATGTTCTGCATCCCAAAATAGATGCCGTCACATCCAAAAGTCTGGACTTACAAAACAAAGAGAGCTTTATTTCTTTGTACATAATATTTTTGGGAGGTTACACAGGTGTATTTTTATTTTGAGAGTTCTTGCCATGTCCACAAAAGAAGCAAGGCAAGAGCATGTACTACCACTGCCAAGAATGAAACATGAATGTGGCCTGAACATTTTTCATAGCTCCACATATCAATGAGACCAAATGGGACCACACACCCCCACAGATCCCCAAAGTCCCAAATTATACTGTCCAAGTGAAAAAAAAAACAAAAAAAAAACACTTACTTAAATTCCGGAAGGTCTTTGTCAAATTGAATATTATCCTCATAAACGACTCTCAGCTGTTCATCAACAGCAATGACTTTCAGCTAGAAGAAATGAAAAGGATGTTAACAAATACTACCCAAAGCAGTAATTAAATAGCACTAATAACTCATGAAATGGGCAGGAGGATCCCTCTCATCCACACAGCTCGGTGAAGTGTGGACGCAGGCTGATAGGAAACGTCTCGGTCTGCGGTATTACAGCATGTCACACCTTTGCAGCGATAGTTGTGTGTCCATCTGCACTTTCCTCCACGTTTCCTCCTGCTTTACTGCACGAGAACAAATTTGCAGGTATTTGCTGCAGGTGATCACGCTCTGGCCTGCATCATCATGACTAACTTGTGTCCAAAGAACGGAGCATTTGGGTGAAAAACGTCGGCGTGTGAGCAAGGACCCCAGCAGACCCTCAGGTACCTGGGGACCAACCCCTGGAGCTGTTGTTCATGAGACTCTTCCCCTCCAGCAAAGCAACATCCCAGTGTGATTTATTCCTTCAGGCCACTTTATCCTCACAAGCACACACCAGAGGGGTACAACAAACTTTCCCTCCCTCTCTGTTTTCTCAGCTTCATCTGCGAAACGGCATCGACTGCAGCTCCATGCACAGGGTGCCGACATCAAAAACCACTCGGGCAACCTGATGCAGGTAAATGGGGGGCATCTTGGCAAGTCCCCAGGCTCGGGTCCCGCCGCAAGGAAGCAATGGGAGCCCGTGGGGGCTGCACGTGTGTCTGCCCTGCGGCGCGGCCGCGACGGCGGATGGGGAAGGCGCCGCGGGGCTCGCGCGGCCGTGGCCACCATAAGGGTGAAGCGGGCGAGTGCCCGCGCCAGGACGGGCTGCTCCAGCCCCTATGGAGGGGAAGGGCTCCCTGCGGAGCCCTGGGACACGATGGGGGCTGCGGACAGGGCCCTCCTGTCGGAGCCGCATGGGGAAGCGAGCAGGCCAGGCCAGGCCCAGCTCAGCCGCCCACTGGGAGCAGGAGGGGAGGGAGGCAGGCGGGAGAGGCGCCGGGGGCCACCGGTACCTGCTGGGTGCTGAAATCCCATCCCAAGTAGCCGGGGACGGCCATGGCGCCGGCGGCAGCGCGACACAGCACAGGCCGCCCCGGCGCCGCCCTCCCCGCCGCCGCGCCGCCCTGCCCAGCCCCGCGCTGCCCGGGCGCCTCTGGGCAGCCATGAGGCATCTCCCGCCGCGCAGCTCCGCTCTTCGCTCTCGCCAACAACGGCCGCCCTCTCCCGAACCCAAAGGCCCGAAACAAGAAGCGCTCCGGCCCTGCAGGCCACCCCCTGGCCCACGTCCCAGCAGCAGGTTCTGCTCCTGCCTGAGAAACGCACGTATTACATTTCAGTCACCCTCTTCATGACAAAACGCTGCCAAAGCTTCCCACATACCGAAACACGCTCGAGACATTTTAAAGACACCCAGAGCTTCTGCAGAGCCGCGTCGATTTATATCTTAAGGCTTCAATTGCAAAGATTTCAAATATCAATCCTGAAGACTCTAAACCTGGAATGCAAATATTTTAATAGACTTTTAAACCTGTCTTATGCCATCATATCATCTTTAAAGATAATATGACAGTGGTGTTCACCTGCATCTTTTAGAACCTAATCCTGCAAATTTATCCACAGGGTTTGCCACCAGGGTAAGGAAGAAAGTGGAAATACCAGTTCATTCAAAAATAAAGAGTTTAAAAACAAGCATGCATTTTGGTCTCCAATAACTGGAATGTTCCTGCCCCTAAGGATTTCATACTGTAAGGATCTCCCATTACGAACAACGTCTCACTTTCTGAACAAGTTTCTGTGAAAAGTTATCTGGGTTTCTTGGTGCAATTTTTGCTAGAAAACAGAGGACCAAATGGCACAGAGGCCGTTTGTGCATCAGGGCAGACCCTCACTGATGAGGCAAGGCTTGTGCTGCCCTTTAACTCACTGCTTATTGCCTATAAATAAGTAACAGATCTGCACGCTGGCAGCTTGAAAAGCTTTAAGTTTCAAAGTGTAACTACTTACAGGCACACTAAGAAAAGCAAAATTGAAGTCAGTTCTGAAGAAAGCGACACAAATGGTAAATGAGCCCAGAAAGAGAGAGATGTTAGTGGAAAAAATCTTTTTTAAAAAAGGAGGCACTGGCTAGGGGAAAGATTGTGAGGAAACAGAACAGTTTATAAATAAGTGAAGCAATCTGATGAGGATGTAAAAATCAATTATAATCTTTAGCCAGGAGATCTGGAGGAGAGATATGCACAGGCTGTTCCAAAGAATACTTTGCCTTAAGTATCAGAGAAAAGTTATGGTGGCTGGAATAACAACTCCCCAGATTAAATGAGGAACAACAGAGCAGTACAGCATAGTTTAGCACAAATTACCCAAGGATAGAACAGGAATGTTATCATTGCCACTTTACTCTTCATGCTTTTCTAAAGAAAATAGGGAAGTTTGCTCAAGCATTGCCTCACCCAGTCCCTGTCACACATCCTTCCACAAAGGCAATGTGTTCAATCCTTTGTGTTTGGAAAATCTGCATAGCTCTTTTTCTCTCAGTTTATGCTGGGAGATGCTATCACAGTCTCTAAAACTGGTTCTCAAAAGCAAACGATGTTTAGCAGTGCACTTATCATCAGGGAAATTGCATTTGTGTACCAGTGATGTTTCAGCACTGACAAATCCCACATTTCCAGAGGGCATGGACAGAATGCCATTTACAGCAAGTGTCAGATTAACAGCTGGACACATGAGAACAAGGTTGATCACTCAAAACACATGCAGCAGGAAAAAAAGGAAAAGCAAGTTTCTTCCCATCTCCTTATTGACTTACTCCTTACCGGATGGAGATGCAACACTCCCATGCTCCCTAAGCCCTTGGCTGTTTTAAAAGTTATAACTAGCAAGCCCGTTAATAATGCTCTTTTCCCCCCACTGTCAAATTAACAGCAAGTGCTGATTCTTTTTAATTCATTGCAAAACATACCTTAACTGTCTTCCATATTTCCCACATTTGCCATTTTTTCACTTGTTAGTCAAATAACAAAATGTGCCTCTGATCTCAGTTTTACCCTGACATAACCTGGGATTTAACTGATTCTTCAGCTTTACACAGAGCAGGTGACAAAGAAATCACATCCTTTGGAATGGGCAAATTGCTGAGAAAACAATGCCTGCCATGCTTCAGTATCATCACTGATACTGATCAGATCAGTATCTTAATATGTCTTAAACCCGATGATAAACTACAGAACACTGTTATATTGACTGCAGCCTGGCAGTACTGACTTATACTGACTACTTAATTTAATAGGATGTTAAAATACTCACAACATCAAGCCAAGTTTTAGAAATCTGTGGGAAACTACATACCCACCTGTTCTTTTGCTTTCAGCAGTTGATTTTGGACATCACACTAGCTATTATAAGGGCAGACAAATATTCAGCAGTGCCAGAGAAACAGGTATTTCTTCGTTGTCCATCAACAGGGGTTAGCATAGCAGGAACAAGGGGACAGCTCAAACTGCTGCGCATACAGAGATCAGTTCCACACACACAAGTCAACCAAAGGAGCCCACATTAGAGCTAACCCTGCTGGCACCATTACTGTTTTCCCAGCAAGAAGTCTCCTGGGTCTTTAATTAGCCTCAGAAATACTAAACATACTAAGCTGGGTCAAATCAATTCTCAGCTATTTGCCAAGTTACCTGACAATCATGTGCAGTGCTGCTAATTAAGCAGGAGGTGTTTACAGTGCTAAGCTTCAAGTTACACGACAATAAAATATCACTTACAAAAAAAATCAGCTTCAGCACTAGATCAGCTGTCTGGACAACAACAGTTTTCTAGAGGTCATTCCCTTTCTGCAGAGTTTTGCAGGCACTCTGTTATCACAGTCTCCAGTAATGTTTAACCTTATGCCAATAATAAAAAATACCACAATACCTTAAGTTACAATAAGAAGTTACCATTTTTTTCTAAGGCGACCATATTATAACATCTCCATATTTTCCTCTTTCTACATGTGCACTTGTCTGTTAATGTTTTTGTGCATGATTTTTCCAGTAACCCCTGTGTTCATCTATAGCACCAAATACTGTGAGGTGTCATTACTTGCCCTGAAAGAATAAGAACTTGATGCTTAGAAGAAGTAGATTGAGATTGCTGTTATCCAGCTGCAATTTTATTGATTGTACTGTAAATAGATAAAAAATATCTTTTCAGAGATCCAACAAAAGCCTCATGCATGAGTCTCACAAGGAGACAAGCCCAAACCATAGCTGTTACACTGAGGCAGAAGACACAGCTTATTTAGATAGTTTAGGTGCCACTAAAGTATTGGTTGATTTAATTCTTGACATGTGCATATTCCGAATCCCATGCACTGTATCACATTAACTAATTAAGGCTCTTCACAGAGACCTCATGAAGAATTAGCCTAGGAGTCCACAGAAAAGCATATGACTGTATGAACACAGGTCTAGAAGTGAGGAATTTAAATGATGGCTCCACTGCACATTCTCAACTATCATGCCACCTTCATGCGTGTCGGTCAATTTGCAGCTTTTATTTAATCACATACATAAAATCCTCCAATTTCACTTCTGATTGCAACAGAGCCTGTTGTGTTGACTCAGCTGGTACAAAATCAGGCACTACAGAGTTGCTTCTGGTTTTACACAGATGTATTTCATTGACTTTAATTAGGTTACTAGTGATTATCAAGTGCAGTACATATTACTCATGAGATCTCTGCACAGAAGGAAAGTGAAGGATGTTTCTGAATAGCAAATTATTTTTGGGATGCTATCACTGTCACTTGCTCTTCTCTGCACAGATTTTAAGTCTGTATTTGTTCTCATAACAGTAGCAGGATTTAACCATCCTCTTTGGAGAACTATCCTAACTAGGTTAATTTGCGGGGCTTCTCAAAATCCACCTCTACACCTGGAAGATTTCCTTGAAACCAAAGACTGAAGTGGTTTCTGTCCCAATGCTCAAAGTCAAGCAACTCTGAATCAAGGTGGTGTCATCCAGATAAAACTTTTCATTAACAACAGATTAACCACTTCTTTCATGCTGTTCTTAACTCTTATCAAACTCCACTTACAGATAAGTATGTTTTCTTGATCAAAAAACAATCAAAGATAAACTAATTTCTACTCAAACAACTGACTGAAGGGAAAACTCCTAATGGCCAAGCTTTGCACATTTCAGCACCATCCTGCAAGGATCCAAAATCATTTTGCAAGGGAGAATTACCCAAAATCATGTAGTTTACAGGTAGGCAAAACAAGGCAGAATATTTACATGACTTTCCCTTTTAGGCCCTGTTTGAAATCAGTTTTTTTCACAGTTCTCACGTGCATATTATGTCCATTGGGAAAATGAATAAACACAGGTTGCTTTCCCTTCACACCACCATAACTCTATCAATAGGAAACATGTTGAGTAGACAATATAAGAAGAAAATAGTTAAATGACAATACCAGAAATGTAAACTCCACTTATAATGATTAGAACACAAGGCACATGCATGAGATGGAGGTAAATTCAATGAGTTTCCAAAGTCCTCTGGAGATGAATGTCCATGGAGGCTATTCAGCTCCTTCTCACCCCTCTTCCCACAGCTTTCAGCAGAGAGCTGCCCTCACCATCCTCTTGTTGGCCCCGCTAGTTCAAGAAGTCCTAGAACTAGGAGGGATGAAAGGGAAATGGCAAGGGAAAATGCCAAATCTTAGTTATTTAAAACCTCCACTTAACAAAGAACTTCAGTTCTTCGACTTGCCTCTCCATTTTATCCTTTCTGAAAGGGAATCTCAGGAGCCCCCAGTGGATGAGGACGAACTAACTACAAAATGGGCAACAACTCTTGATCCTAGGTGTTGGATTCTGATCGTTCACAGAGACAGAGGCTGCTGTCCCAGTAACGCGGACAACCAACATTTGCATAAGCAAATCTCCACATTTTTGTTTACTCTCTACAGCAAATAACCTTCTGAAGGGAAGTAACTTAATCCTCGGCACTAACAAGGTCAACCCAGAAGAAGAGAGGACTTTAGATCAGAAGAAATATCTTAAGATCATTCTGAAACCTGCACCGCAGGCACCTTAATCACATTAACATGGGCATGCAGAAAGCACCAAAAAATAATCTTGCATTATGAGAGACCCACACTTAACTCTTCCCTAAATGCAGCATGCTTTAAAGTACTTGCAACAGAAACATATGCATATAGCAGATATTACTGGTTCTATTAACACTTTCTGGAGCCCAAATAATAGCAATCACCCTGTTTTTACCTTTAGTTTTGGTTTTATTAAGTTTTCTTAATGCTCTAACAATCAGTTTCTAACATTTCAAGGCATATTATATAAATAAAAACCTAGAAGGGGATTAAGATAATGCGTTTTATTTTCCTTCTGAGTAAAAGTTAAAATGCACAGATATTTGTATCCTTTCTAAGGTGCATGAACAGAGTATATTTCTATAATTCTCCATATGAAAAATATGAATAATTACATATACCTCTGTACATCCTTTGATCCCAAGTGCAAAATAAAATCCAGTGTTACAGGAAGTATATTCACTTACAGTTAACTATTAGGAACATTTCTTAATTATGTTTAAATCAACATTTATGACTCTGTAAGATCCACCAATTTTTTTTAATTAAAAAATGTAGTACTCACAAATTAATTAGTATGAGATAAAATTAGCTGCATCTTTTTAAAATGAGACTTGCAAACACAGTCAAGGACAGAAGACATCTGCTTCAAGTTCTAAAATACCATTGCTTCTGGATTATGAAGTACCCCTAATTTTGGAGTTTTATTTGCCTCAAGGAAATGAGAAATTGCTTCCATTGTGTGACAGCAAACCAGACCAAGGAGAAAACACAGCACTTCAGACTTCAATGGATGTTCAAATTAAAATCACTCAGAGGCAACATTTTTGCAGGAGTTTATTCAATTAAGACAAGTTTTTATGCATGACCCTAAATGAGGGCAAGCCGTTTCCAGAACCGGCAGCACCGTCTGGGAGCACGTGGAGCAATGCAAAGAAAGGGTTCAACAAGTAAATCCAGATTTTCAACATTTCAGGCCCAAAGCAAGTCCTACCACTCCGATAGTGCCACCTGCTGCACATATCAGAGGTGACCATGGTCCCCAATCCTCATGGCTGCGCTGAAGAACTCAGTTGAGCACAAGTCCTAATTTCACTTTTGTGCTCATATATGACAACAAGAAAATGCATTTTTACAGTTTTATCCTTTCTCCTAGTATCACTCGTGCTGCAGGAGACAACTTGCTCTGTAAGGACTGAACCCCACAGGTTCCACATCCACTTGTGAGTTTACATCCCTGCTATAATGAGCAGTAGCTGCTTGAGCCCCCCAAGCTCAAACATGTTGCAAACCCTCTTTACCTTGGCACCTTTTGAGCACCAGGGGTGCAACTCACCTTATGAATCATATCCTGGTTGCAAATCCGCAGAACACACACGCGTGGACAAATCTATACACAAAGTGTGTGTATGTGTACATATATACATGTATGCGTATGTGGGGCGTGCACATATGTACACACATACACATGCATACAAGGTGCATACACACACAAACACACGTACACATCTTGATAGCAAACAAGGTATACACACACACACACACACACACATATATATATGCATATATATATATATACACACACATACACGAATTAATCAAGGTGCCCTGTCCACAAGTTTCTTCAAAATGCCAACCAAATGCATTGCCTATGTTACGGGCTCCTCCACACAGGGGCCAATCCTATTCCCAGTTCCTCTCCTGGAGCAGCTGGAACCAGTCCCTGCATTTCACTGGGCATCTGCATTGGTTTTTCTTCCCTATTTCTGCTTTTCCTACTTGCACGTGTAGCTGCTGGGGAAGGAACTGTGCTGTGTTATTATGCATTTGTATTTCTCCAAGTGCAGTGAGTTTTCCCTGAGCCTGAGGCAAGGCTATGGTACAAACACTTACAAATCGTAATACTTTCGCATCAGATGGAAACTTGCTCTGCTCAAAATGCTCTTTGAATGAAAAGTTATGAGTGAATCTCTAAAACAGAGCTGGCGTTTCGTGTTAGGAACGTTATAAAGGTAATTCCTTCTGCGACCTATGTCAGGTTGCACAAGTCCCTTTCTCAGGAGGTCACTGAGCCAAGCAGTGTGACTGGAATGTTAAAAAGGTTGGGTAACTTTTATGACCATTAAGAATGTTTGTATTGAATGCCAGCTCAAGCTACTGAGGTTAACTAAATCTCCTGGCCCAGCTGCCCAAACCGACTGCATGGGGGTGCAGAGGAGGACTCCATGTGCCAACGACTCCGAACACTGGGGAAAATAAAGGCAACTGAGGGACTGAAGACATAAATATACTGGGAAGTCAAAATCTGGCACAAATGAGATATAGACTTACACATTTGTACTTGCTGAGCCTTATGAGAACTCCGTGCACGTGCAGGTGATGGCATCGCTACCGTCTTGTCACCTGTGCACACACGAGCTGCAAAGGGATCCCCTAGGTCCTGCCTTGCCACCTGAGCAGGGAAAGTCACTTATGTTACAAATCACAGCACAACTTCTGCCAGTGAGCAGGAAAACAGTGTGCAGGCATTTCCCCCTCACTACACCCTTTCACAATGGTGTGAAAGGAAATGATTTATTCTACAAGTTTGTATTATTTATAGCTGTAAAACCAGGAGGGCAGAACTCCTGAGGGAGTCAGGGTAAGGCAGGGCTGCCAGTGACCTCCCCAAGTGCCACCACACACACGTTTCTGCCTCTGCACCCACTCCTCAACACTTGGCACACAGATTGAAAAGGCAGCAATTTAAAAAATATTATTTTCTATCCCCTCTACCACAAAAGCAGCATTAATGGCACTGGATGAAAATTAAGGAAAGAAGAGTGGGGAGGAAAAAAAAATAAAAAGGAAAGAAACCTGAAGAAAGATTTACCAGAAGGAATTACTGTCTTGGGCAGGTCACCATGACAGAGCCTCTTTAAGAATTAACACTACTACACAAACCAGTATTAACCAGCCCTTTGTGCACCTGCCTGTGTTCAGCAAGGTTTTGTATTTCACTGTTTTTCTTGGCAAAGCTTCGTGCGCTCACAGCCTTCAGTCAACATTAAATGCAGCTATCCAGTCATTATCATTAACTCTGTGTGCAGTAGCTCAACACACAGCGCGTGAAACGGGCTGCGTAAACCTCCCACTGAAAGAAACCCCCATACTTAGAAGAAAGTTACTGCCTCATTCAGGGACGTTTCAGATGCTTCAAACTTAATTTCCTTTTTCGTTTTTTTGCCAACACCATGAAGGAAATGTCTTGCTTTTGCCTGACTCTGTCTTCCTTGTGGGAACAGATGGTGAAAGCTTACAAATACATCACGGGTATTTTCTCAGTGACTCATACCTCAGAGCACCAGGCTTCAGATCGTGACGAGCAGCCAACCAAGATGGACGTGAGCTTGCTTGAGGAGCAGTATGGCTATCTGAAACAGAAGCAAAAGCTGCAATCACACGTTATTATATTCAAAACAGGTACGCTCGGATGTATAGGAGGCTTTGCAAATAGAGATCTAAAGGATATTCCTCTAAGTCTTGCATAACTTCTTTGTTCTTTCTATGCAGCGCTTCAAGAAAGTTCAAGTGAGCTCCTTTCCTGTCACTTTGTTTTCTTCTTCATTCCACTGAAAGGTGGTCTTAGCATTAGGATCATTAAAAAAGAAGGCAGTGAAACACTAACACGAATTTCAAATAGATTTGTTTATTTTCATATTATGTATTAGGTCCGTAAAGTGAAAATCTGAAGTGTTATGTTTTACAGAAGCCACAAGACTATCCCCAATATATATTTTTTTTAATATATTCTGTGGCATTTCTGCTCTGTTGAATGCTTCCATCTGAACAGTGCTGGCTCTTCTGTCTCATCTTTATATAAAGAAATGCATCCTACAACAGCAGATATTGAGGGGCTAGCAAAAGTTAGGCTTTGCATAAGAAATAACTTAAGAATTAAGAGTCAAAATGTGTAACTTAGAGATTCTTTTTTGGAAGCAGTTCTATTGCATATTGCTTGGGAAATAGATAAATAGAAAAATTAACAACAGTAATTTATCTACTATGTCGGATAAGTTTTATGTTCAAATTCATTCAAATATTTTAAAGTTTTTAGTTAACTATAGGTAACATTATTACACCCATATATTTTCATTTACATTCTAAGTTAAAGTGACACCCAGAAGACAGTCAATTAGTGAAGCTTTTGGAATCATTTAGTAGTAGTATGAAAATATGTTTCATTCACCTCTGATATTAACATTTATTTTAACAGTCAGACTCAACAGAAGTCACCTGAAAACAACATCCCTCTTTTCCTTCCCCAAAACACACACGGACATGATCACACATCCCTCTGTTCCCAATATTTAAGAGCAAAGATGATGACAAGATTTGAAAAATCTCCAGTTGAGGGTTAATACAGGAGTGTTTTTATTATTTATAGGCTAAGAAGCAGAAAAGTAGTGTTTACTTTAGGAATTAGAATAGGAGGAGTATTTAGAGCGTGCAGAATAAACACTGGGGCTCGGACTGCAGGAATCTCTTTCAAGAATTTACCAAGCTAACTTGAAACATGATTCATTTCTCTCATCCAAAACCTTAAAGGTCTCAAAGATAACTGCATATGAAAAATGCCAAATGGTAAACAACCATGAAACAAGGTTACTAGGGGCAATTTAAAAAAAAAAAAAAAAGAAAAAAGAGACCAAATATCTGTTTCATTCAAGCTTTCTTTAGAAATTTAGAGGGTGGTGAGTGTGTGTTGATTCAACACCCTGGGTTCTTGCCTCCCATGTTTCTATCAGAGGTCATTGCTCAATTCTGTGCACCACTCCTGTCCCCAAGGAGTCAAAGCAGACGTGAACTGGAAAGCAGTTCAGACTATTGCAGCTGGACTGGATACAGGATTTTGCTCTCTGACCAGCTTACGCTCCATCTTGGTTCTTCCTATGACTACTTCATAAAATCTGAAGTTTGCCCCACATCCAGTGGTGCAGCGGAGAGACCCTTTATACCTACCAGAACGTGCAAAGTTTCATGACATCCAACTCTCTCGATTGCTCCTTTCTCTGACAAACACAGCAGAGGAAATGCTGTGGTTTGATGCTCATGCTCTTGCTTCAGCAACAGGAGTGAAAGGTTTTGGCTCAAGCATTTCCTTAGCTGAAACCCCGTTGCACAGATTCACTTACTGTCAGTAAAGGACCTGTCTCGGGCATATCCAAATATTTCCTTACAAAGACTGGAACAAGTCAGTTACAAGTTACTTTGCATGCCTGTTTTTCTTTAAAAAAAATAGTTTTTAAAGTTTATTTTATTTCTATTCAGTTGAAGTAATTAGCTTTTTAATTTCTTAAATAAAAAATTAAAAAACCCTATTTTAACTACTTGCATTTCAGATTCAGTGCTAGAAGTTATTTAAATTGGCCCTGCAGATTTCTGTTTCAGCGTACAGGCAGTAATCCTTCATTTCTTTCACTTTGCTGTGCTTCAGAATTCATACCACAGCACACACAGTTGCTCTGAGTGAACCCTGTAAATAAGGTCAGCATCCTGCACTACCACTTTAAACTGTATTTATATTAACTGCAGTCTATTTCATTAGCATTTGCAATGTCAACACACAGTTTGTTTATCTTTAGTATAAAGGTTCAATTTCTATTCATTCCCAAGGCACAAAAGGGCAGTCATGTTTGGTAATTTGATGATATGTTGTTTCATGTAATTAAAGAAACATTAGCATTTCGATCCCTAATATCTTATGTATTTTTAACAGTAACTGTACACACTGTTTAGAAATTAAACCATATGCATGAGAGGAAAAAAAAATACTAATGTCGTCAGCTATTTATCTTACACACTAACTACACATTGGTAAAATCATACAGTGCACAAGCCCATGTGCTATAAGCTCCCTAACCCCATGCTAAAAACCAAGCCAAAATAAAAAAAAAAAAAAAAATGAGGATTGAAAGAAATTCTGCTTCTATCTCGAATCAGAAGTGGTTCTTCTAGAAGTGGCCACAGTATTTTTAGTTTGTGAATTCAAACTTCAACCAGTATCAAAGAGAACATTTGCATCTTTCAGATCACAGTATCTATCCACATGCTCAGAAAGCCCCCGCTCACCTTAACATTTTTTGCTTATGAGCAATTAATTAGTGAAAGTCAATTCTCAAACTGTGCTATTAATGAGGCTCGGAGTACAGCTTAGACCAATATTGACTTGATAAATCTCCATTTTCATCTGAGTGACCCAAGGGTACTCTTATGTCCTCAGAAATGCAAAACCAAAGCACTTCTGCTCCGTTATTTGGCATCAAAAGGAATTGCACTATCAGACACAGAGAGAGCATGGACACACTCATCTGTTAAAACTCTTCAGCTGAATTTATGCTGCAAAAATAAGACCTTTAATTTTTGCCATCGTACTAACGTGCACATACGCATTTCCTTTACAGGTGAAAATGAATCTGTTCTCTCTGAATCAATGGTCAACGCCGTCTTAATCAATAAAAACATTAGGAAATCAAAATCATCCACAGAGAGTGTTCCCATCAGAAAGGCCGGGCTGGAGGTGACCAGCAATGGTCACCTGCAGGAGAGCTCACCATGGAGAACCCACCTGGGCATCCACCGCCTGGCGCAGGCGTCTCGAGAAGCTCCCCGGGCTCCTTCGCATGGCGCGGACGGGCCATGCGCCTTCGACAACGAGAGACTAATCCCGAAGGAGAACGGCACACGGCAGCACCGGGAATCGGAAAGCGCCGGGGAGCAACCCATGCTCCATCATCTGGGAAGCTCCAGCAGGTCCAACGGTTTCAGCAAAGAGCAGAGCAGCATCGGCCAGGAGGCTCCTGCGAAATCAGCAGTTTGGGCACATCGGTATTTTTCGTCCCCAACATGTTCGCCAGCCTGCAACAAGCTGAACTTCTACCCTTTCCCTCAGAAAAAAACTCCCAGGATTTCTGAAGCAGCAAGAAGGCTTGGCTTGTATGTCTCGCAATGAAGAAAGACAGTAGCATGTGAAATTTAGATAGAAACCTAGGAAAAACTGTAGCAGGACAGTCCTCCTAGTTACTCTGATCAACCTGGTAAGGATCCAGTAATTCCATTAGCCAAGGAAGATTCTTACCATGTGCTCTGTTGCTCTGGAGTACAAAGCCTGTTAGATGAAGAGTGTTGTCATGATGATGCTGGACTGCCACAGAACAGACAGTCCTGGGTATTACCAAGTGTGTATTCTCACTCACTTCTGTTCTTCCAGATATAGGAGCAATTTTCTCTTCCTATTTTTTTTCCTACATTCAAGGTTACTGATTTTACCACAGTAACATTTGGAACACCTGAAAGCTGTAGCAAAAATTAGCAGGCCTGCTTATGAAGCAACTAGGCTGGAATACAGTCTGGAACAATTTGATTAGATGATTAGGAATAAATGAAACAGTGTTAAAAGGAATGTATTTGTACATCTGAGTTAATGTATGTTCTCATAACTCACTTTCCTTGGAAAAAAATATCCATGATAGATTTTCAGGTGTGCATATTTTAAATCAATAAATAAAAACTTGGCTCATTCCACTGTTGTTTTAATGGGACTTAGTAGATGTTACGTTTTCTCATTTATAGATTTTATAAAAGTCATAAAAATGGGTTCCCCCACTGTATTTTATCAGAAAACAAAACCCTGAAATAATTATTTCACTTCCAGATACTCTGTATCAATGTGCCTTACTAGAAGCATAAAGAATCTTTCTGCTGCTACATCTCTGTCCTTTATGCCATATTATGCCCTTTATGGGCACAGAACCATTCCAACCATTTTTAACTGCATAAACCTCTACATCTTCTATGCACCACAAACCTGTGCAGGTTTTTAAAAGGAAGTAGTTATTTGTGGTCTCTGCTCCTGTAAGATCTTTAGAAAAAGGAGAACTTCTTTCCCATGTGCTTCTCAACAATAATAAAAATGTAAGTTGTGTCGCCCACCTCTGGCTGCTGGGACTAGGAGAGTCTCTCTCAAGCGGAGTCTTCAGAAGAGGTGAAGTCTGAAATATCTCCCCACCTCGTGATTACTCACATTCAACTACAGACCTGGAAGCCTCTGCCTCTACTCCTGGGGCATTCCATGTTTTCCAGAGCCTCGGCAGAACTGCAGAAGGAGGATCAGCTCAGTGGCCCACAAAGCTCTTTATGGCTCCCACAAACACTGCTCAGTCCCACAGCCCCAGGTACCACCCCTGTCTTGGCATCAAAGAAGTGAGCAAAAAACAGTTGTTAAGGATACTTGGTTGTGGTTTATGTCCTTTTAGACATAAAAGGACAAATTCTCTTCTCAGCAAGAAAATCTACTAGGAATCTAGGGGAAAAAAAATCATACCAATGTATAAATAAAGTGGCTATATTTGCAACAGAACCTACCAATACCTCTGTATCCAACTCAGCATCAAACCACTATTCCTTTATACAATTCCACTGATCATTTTTGTGCTTAACACAGGATACTAGATCTGGAGATGCCTACTGCATCTCGGGAGATCCAGAGCTATGAGTGCACCGCAATCCTCCACAGGGCCAAAAATGCAACATGGAAGATAATACTATGTTACTCCCTCTTGACAAATGTCATTTTCTCACCAACAATGCTCCAAATTTGTGTTCTACAGCATCCCACATTCAGAGATACTGATCCAGACAGCACCTGCAAGTACACAGGCATGTGGTCCCCTACCAGTCCTAAAGATAAAAGCAAAATAATATCTAGTTTGAGGAAGGAAGGAAGGAAGGAAGGAAGGAAGGAAGGAAGGAAGGAAGGAAGGAAGGAAGGAAGGAAGGAAGGAAGGAAGGAAGGAAGG